CAAACTTTCATCAATGTAATGTTGTTGCAGGGTGGATGTGTGGGGGTTTCTTTTAATATATATTGAAACGGCTAAATCATTATCACTTGGCCATAGAGAATACAGTGTCTTTTGCATAAACGAGTTCTTGGTGAACACATTACGAGCCGTAGGCCAGCTTAACACGGCTTCAGTCTTTCATCAAAGAGGCTGGATACAAATCAGTAGTTGCTGTTGGACAAAGATCTAAATGCCTTCCAAGATTAACAATTAACTTTCATGCCATGTTTTCTAATGGAAAATCTTTCTTTCCCTAAAAAGATGTGCAAACTACACAACTGCAATTTCTTAGTGTCCTGTACATGCCAGTGTTGCATTAGAACTGTTTTGTCTGCAGAGCATCCCCTTCTACATCTTCTCTGAGTCCTATGGAGGGAAGATGGCAGCTGCCATCTCCTTGGAACTTACTAAGGTGAGTTAACGGCTTTTCGAGTCTGACAGCAGATTGTTACTTCCCTTTACAACATCCCCCTTCAGTGACGTAGGAAAGTCCCCATGTGAAGGGGCTGTCATATGATGATTGTGTGAGTAACCAAAAAAAACCCATGAAAGAACAGTTTAATGGCTTGCAAGTATTTCTGGAGTAGTGGTGTGTCTGAGTAATATATATTAGTCTCTTAAAATAAAATGGATTTATTTCCTCTGGTATGACACAGGACAGAATCTGGACTGTAAATACAGTATGGACGTAAAGTTCCAGAAGCCTGCCTTTTATTACTTGTAACAGTAACTACACAGGGGCCTCAAGGATGTTCATGGTTCCTATTGAAATTGGAGAATATAGACCTGACGCTATCTCTTTATTTTAACAACCTTCTGATTCTTTCCATGTCAAATCAGAAACTGTTTAGAGGTCAACACCATGTGATATAACTCCAAATGTGTTTAACTTGTCTCTTGTCTGTCCAGGCTGTTGCACAAGGGACAGTGAAATGTAATTTTGCTGGTGTGGCACTTGGGGACTCGTGGATTTCCCCACTGGGTCAGTGTTCACACCTACACTGCTACCTTCTTAGACATTTCTTCTCAAACACAACCCCACTGGAATGCTGCACATCTACGTTTTAGAACTGCAAATTCCATTTACAGTAAGGCCTTCAAACTTAGATTTGTAGAAGTGTCTACAAAACATCAGCAGAAGCCAGATTTACTGTAGCTCTCCATGGTCCTCAGCTGAAACCTTTTCTATTAAACCACTTACTTTTATGCAAGTTTAGTTGGTGGAAATTGGTGACACAATGTGCGGTCTGTTCCACCATAGTTGAATATGGAGTAGATGCTACAGACACTACAATTTGACTTCAGATTTCTGTCAGTAAAAATGTACTGTGACGATTAAAAGGTCAAATTAATAAAATCTTCCGTGGAACTCCCAGAGTTTTTCTGGAGTTGTAGAAAGGACAAACTTGTACATGAAACTCAGGAAAGAAATTGCACAAATTTCCCAGGCAACGTTAACAATATTAATGTTATAGACTACGTTGTATAAGGTGTGACATTTCCTCTAGCATAGGAAAATTAAAATGCCAAATATCTGATGGGAAATTATTGTCCCCCCCCCCCCCCCAAATTTAAACTGTTCTCTCATCCACAGACTCTGTCATGACCTGGGGGCCGTACCTCTACACTACCGTAAGTAACAAAATAGTGGGCATATGTTTCTCTAAAGTATTGGACCAAAATCAGAGTTGATACTCAAGCTGGTCTCGTGATTTTCCACTTGACGGTGTGTCCTTTGCTGTGCAGTCGCTGCTGGATGACAACGGCCTGGCTGAAGTTAGCAGAGCAGCGGAGGACGTGAAGATGGCTGTGGAGCAGCAGGAGTTTCGGAAAGCCACTGAGCTGTGGTCTGTGGCTGAGACTGTGGTGGAGCAGGTTGGTACAACACAGGAGGATCCACAGCAAAAATCTCCACTCTTGTTTTTCATATACAGGGAGCTATCTTCATCAGAAAACACAAGGGACTATATTCTAATATACTGTGTATATGCAACAATTTCTGGATGTATACTGTAAACCTACAATCTCAAAGGACATCATTATAACATATGTTGCCAATAATTAGATGAAAAGATTAATACCAATGTCTTTAAGGCAAACATGAAGCTACAGTCAGCGGCCTGTTAGCAGAAAGGCTGGATGCAGGGGAGATGGCTAGCCTGGCCCCAATGTGTTGTTTAGACTTCAGGTTTTTGTACAAAATAAGAGAACAAGAGATAATGTTAGTTAGTGAGCTTAACAGGATTGTTAGTATTTTGTTACCTTTTGAACAAAGCCAGACTAGCTATTTCCAGTGTTTGTGCTAAGCCCAGCTTACCGTCTCCTGGCTCAGCCTCATCGGACAGACATGAGAGTGGTATTGCTTTTCTGATTTAAGTCTTGGTGTGTCTTATTACTTGGCCTCTACTTTTGAGTGCTCTGAAAGTGCTGCATTCCCTCATTAGAACCCAGTTTGCATGTCAGGATAATGTGGTTTTGATGTAATATTTGTGTTTTTTTTCTTTTTGGCTTTCATGTCAGAACACTAATGGAGTCAACTTCTACAACATCCTCACCCAGGAGCCGGATGACACACTCACTCACTCCTCTTCTGCAGGAGAGAACTTTATCTGTAAGACACTGCCAAGTGATCGCACAAAAAACTCCAACAAGAACAGCTCATCGGGTTTGACATGGAATGAACTGGTCATTACAAATGTCTTACTGTTAAGTATTTCAACTATTTTTATCTTTTTCCACCAGCTCTGCAGACACGTCGCCATATTCGACCCCTCCATGGCCAATCACTGGGCGAGCTGATGAATGGACCAATCAGGAAGAAACTGGGCATCATCCCCCAGAATGTCACCTGGGGAGGTGCTGTATCTCAACTTTGGACTTGATAGTTTGACATATATATATATATATATATATATAAATATAAATAAAATTAAATTCCTCCCTGTCTTTGCTGTGTCCAGGCCAGGCAGAGGAAGTGTTCAGTTATATGGCAGGAGACTTTATGAGGCCAGTGGTGGATATAGTCGACCAGCTGCTGAGCGCTGGAGTCAACGTCACCGTCTACAATGGCCAGCTGGATCTCATAGTGGACACCATGGGTAACTTAAAGCAGTGCTGCTTAGCTCTAGCAGCAGTGTTGGCTGGCCCAGGAATCGGTGCCACCTTGGCGTAAACGCGTCCACATGGAATTTCTATGGGAAAGGGCTGTGCCACATGAGTGTCTTCTATTTCTCACAGGTCAGGAGCTGTGGGTGAAGCAGCTGAAGTGGGACGGGCTACCTGGATTTAACAATCTGAAGTGGACCGCCCTGGATGACCCCACCTCCCCGGGCATTACTGGCGCTTTCTGCAAGACTTATAAGAACTTTGCCTTCTACTGGATCCTCAAAGCTGGTCACATGGTAAGACACTGAGAGGGGAGAGGGGGGGGGCAGCATCTTGTGGTGGTTGGGTGGGTTTATTTATTTTTTTTAAATCCCAGAGGGGTAGAGACCGCTTGGATTTGGGGTTCAGGTTACAATTAGGTTAGGGGTAGGGTAAGGCCTAAGGTTGGGCATGTTGATGATTAAGGGGGGGGGGGGGGGTGTTATGAATGCATAATGTCAATGAGATGTCCCCACAGGGATAGAGGAACAAATGTGTGTGTGGATAATGGATGTAGCTATTTATATGCAGCTCTTCGTTGTATCCTTGCTAAGGATGCTAATTTGCTATCAGTCTCTAAGAATTAGACAATCAAGGCTAGTAAGCACAACTACCAAAAAAAAACCCAAGATAAAACACTGTTTGGAGGTAACTTAATAAGACCTCCTCCTCGACCTACCCATTTGAGAGAACTTGAACCAAATTCCAACTTCCCCTGTTGTCCCAGATTCCCTCAGACCAGGGACCTATGGCCTTGAAGATGTTGGAGATGATCACCCAGCAGGACTGATCCACCCACTCTGCCAGCTGGAATGGCTGCGACAATCACAAGAACCACATGACCTTGTCTTTTTAATATTCCACTTTCTGCTGAACCAAATCAAGAAACGGTAATAACCTGTGTAAATTTTAGCCATAACAATAAAGACATTTGTCTCTTTTGTAAATGCTGTTGAGGCTTCTTATCTGGCACAGAATCAGACAGATGAAAGATGTTGTCCTTACTACACACACCTCTGAGAAACCTGAAACAATATGTAAGGGCGCATTCTCCACATCAACTACTAGTTCTTGACGCCTACTTCTATAAAATTAGCTTCAGATAATCACATTCTCCTCAGGATGACTTGTAATCACCTCAGCAGTCCCTTGACTTTTCATCTATCCACCATCAGCTCAAAAGGTTTTCCTCAAATGTGACCACACACCTGCTCAACTCTGCCTCAGCTGCACTTCTAGTGCAGACTTTTAATATCAAAGTTAAAACAAATGTAGACAAATTGATCTAAATTAAGTGTTCAGTCAACTTACTGTGATGCACCTGGTTTGGCCATGTTGACCTGAAATGTGTGAACTGGATCTAAACGCGTGAATACAGAATAACTGATCACCTGTAGTGTTATGACGTGGCAGGGTAGCTGGAGTCATGAAGGTCATCGCATTTCAAAGTCTTAAGAACAGTTCTGGAAAATTCTTCAGTTATCCAGTGTTCTTGCTGAACCTTCTCCTTAAACCAACAAACATGAAGATGTACACTACTCTCACTTCACTTTTTTTTTTTTTTTGTGCATACATATCACTAACATACAGTTTATCAAGCACATCTGTGGATCATAAAGGTTAGTACAGTGGAAGCCGCGTATAAGTGATCAGTTAGTGATTCAGCTTGTATGGATCAAAATGCTTGGGACAATCATCCCTATACAAATACTGTCTCAATTTGATTATAGTAATCAGGTTGTCTGACGGTGCTCAATTTGGGTCAGCATATGGTGAAAACATTTGAAACGGCTGTTTTTAAACAGTCAAAATTCAGTAAATAGTGAAGCTGTCCGTTTCATTACTGTTTTCATGTAATATTGAAATGTCAGTCAGATGGTAATCTGCACGAGAGAAATAATAAATTTGGGTACAATAATCATCCACTTAAGAGTGGTATCAATCTTCTCATGGTACTCTTGATTTAATAAAATACACTCTTTCAGATCCACATACTAGTTGTTTCCTGCAGCTTTTAACCATATCAGAAGTTCCTCAGCTTCTTTACCCAGTTGTCATCTGTTAACATGCTCTGTACTTTAATCTGTTGCCCTGATGAAAGCCATGTGATATGACTGAAAGCTCAGGTGGACAGTAGACAGACAGAAAATATAGGCTTGGTTACAGTAGGTGCAATAAAGCAAGGCGGAATGATTCGAGCACATTAGCAACATGTTCATGTTTGATCGACAGCCCCACGTTGCCTTCTCCCCCAAAATCCAAAGTTTTGTGATGTCAGCGGAATAAGTAGCCAACCGGAAAACTTTTGAGCCAAAACCAAGTGTAGGCTCCAACTTGGGAACGGTGATTTTCACATCAGAGCCATGGTTGGTTTCCATGAGGAGAAGCGGTTATGTCAAGTCACTGTGTTAAGTCATCTGTATAGCTGAGGCTTCTTCTTCCCCAGTGTCTCTCTGGGACCGGGAAACCCTTCCTGATCACGGGCTCCACCACCAGCTCCAGCAGGCCGGGTGGTTCCGGCACCTCCAGCTCCGTTACTCTAAAAAGATTAGAATATGCCCGGCCCACCAGAACCAGCTCACCTGAGCGGATTCGGGGATCAGGTCCTCTCAGCCGTCGCCAGTACACCCTGAAGTGACGTATGAGCTCAGTCGGGAAGTCCCAGCGCAGTGTGGCGTTGAGGTACAGGCAGGGAGAGGTGGACTCTGACAAGGTACCAGCCCCGCGCAGCCACACCACGTCGTAAATGCACAAGCCCTGAACACGCTCAGGGGGAACTTGCAGACTGTCTACATCCAAAAGCTTGTAGAGAGAAGGGGGGACAAGAACAATTAAAAAGGGAGGGCTTCTCATGTAGTTTGTCTAAATTATATTACATGTCATGTCAAAATGTCGCCCTTGCTGCTGAAAATATGCGGTTGAAAACTGAAATGATTACAACTGAAGTGGCAGGTGAAATACAAATACTGAAAGGTTGAAATAACAGTTAAAATGGAGTGTTGAAGATGAAGTTTCAGCTGTCAGTGAACGTGATGAGTGAAGGTATGAAAAGTACTGAAGTTAGAGACAATTGTGTATGAACATAGGAAGAGCTGAAGAAGTACTTTTTGTTGTTTAAACTGTGTGTACAGTAGAATATCTGAAACTATAACCTAGTTTCCAAAAAAGGTTGAAGTCAAGGGCAACTGGACTTGGTTGAAGATACTAGAAGTTGTTTCGTCCCTCATCCAAGCGACTTCTTCAGTTCTGACTGACTGGTAGGGAAACTCAGCTATTTAACCTCTGTGATCATTAGCTATGATCGTCAATGCCGCCCGTTCCTTAGTGCTCCTGGCTGCTCTGGTTGGGTGAGTTCCCTATCTGACAGATTTTTCACCCATCTGTTATCTGTTTCCCGTGTCGTTGGATTGTCGTCCTTACTCCTCCCAGACAATTCTCCTGTTTTCTTTGCGTTGCTGGCTCTTGCCTGTAGGTTTTGGAATTTTCTGGTCTGTCTTTCTTCGCTCTTGTTGTGTTGAGATAGCTGTGCTTTCTTGATGAAATCCATGACCTTTTCCATTACTGTACTGGGCAGTTGTTTCCAGTTCTTGGTGTAACAGGGGAGGGGGTCTACGCCACCACTTATCCCCCACTTACAATGCTGTCCTTTCATCGCTTCCCAGGAAACTAAACAAGCATTTCCTCTTGGCCTCAGGTGAAGATACCAACGATGGTCGTTCAGTCTTGGCCACAGGTGGATGTAACGACCATGACGACTTTCGTTACCACAGCCAGGAGCACTAACGAACCAGCGGTATCGACGATAATAGCTAACGATCCCAGACGTTAAATAGCTGATTTTCCCTACCAGTCAGTCAGAACTGAAGAACTCTCTTGGATGGGGGACGAAACGACTTCTAGTATTTTCAACCAAGTCCAGTTGCCCTTGAACTCAACACTACATCACATTCACACACTGAGCCTAACTGCTCAGAACAGAAACATTCACACACACACACAACAGCCATCAATTTGGGGTTTAGTATCTTGCCCAAGGACACTGCGATATGCAGACTGCCAACCCGATCTACCTCCCGAGTGAACACACCCACTGTCTCACCATGATTTCTCCCACCCTGCAGCTGAAAGGTGTGTCCTGAGGCTCTCCATCCCGCTGGATGTTGACACTCACTTCTCTAAGAGCACAGCCGCGGAGCTCCAACTGCGAACACCTGCACACGGTGACATCAAGGGAACAGAAAGACCGGGTACTTAGACAACTTTATAATGAAATCCATTAACTTAGCTGCTACTTGGCTGGTAAGAGTGCCTCACCTGACAGTCCAACCATCTGGACTCAAGTTGCCACACAGCTGAGAGAACTGGCTCACCAACTGGTGCCCCTCATCCAGTACCGCAGGAGACACGCTGGTAACTGCAGAAACACAAACGACATACATACCAAATGAGATCCAGATCCTTAGTTAGTTCTTAGTGATAATAATGATAATTATATATCATAATTATATGCTCCAGTCCTCCGCAATTACCCTCCAAAGGATAAGAGGGTATAATAAATGGATGGATTGTGAGAAACGCACGTTTGACATCCTGGACGTCCAAGTGTGTGCAAAGACTGGCATCTGCTGTCTTCAGCTCCAGGGAAACTGTGATCCCAGTGGATGGCTTGTAGACGAGGGTCACCAGAGTCTTGGATGCCAGGGGTACATGGAGGGAGAAGATCCTGAGAGATAAAAAAAAAAAACACAAAGAAACAACAGGCACATGAATGAACTATGAGACTTGTGTGTTTTGGGTGGATAGAGGTGGTAAGATCACTTTTTCCGCCACTTAAATAAAGCCAGGGGTCAGCAGAAAACACACACACTTTGCACAAACTGGAGATGTGCGTGTAGCAGGGATGAGTCCGTCCAGCAGCAGTGAGCAGCCTCCGTTCCAGGCGTCCTCGGGGCAGCCGCGGCTCCTCAGCCAGCCCTGGCCCTCCAGCTCGGTGTGGTAGTACAGGGGCTGGATCTCCTGGGCAGTCAAGTTGAACCAGCTCCTCATCACCTCACGCTGCGCACACACACACAAGACAAGACTGCAGTCATCAAGCAGACAAACTAAACTTCATTCATGTAACACATGTCACTAAACAAAGCAATGGCATTTCCAGCAGCTACCAGCTTTAAGTTAACCCTTAGAACGACCAGTAGGCCTGTATCCAGCACTGGTGTGTGTGAGATACTGCGGGCCATGGCCATGGAGGGCTTTGTAGGCAAGAAATAAAATGTCATAAATGGTCATAAAATGTGATATGATCTTCATCTAAGTCACAACTATAGACAAACACCATCTGCTTCAACTAATACCACACAAACAATTATATGTTTTTATTGAACACACTGAGTAAACAGTCACAGTGCAGGGTGGAAAAGTATGTGAACCCTTAGGTTAATGACTTCTCTAAAACCAACTGGAGTCCAATCAATGAGATGAGATTGGAGGTGTTGGTTAGAGCTGCCCTATAAAAACACACGCACACCAATTTTTATTCTGAAAACCAATATAACCCACACCATCTGCCCCTAGCTGAAGAGCCACTTCCTTCTGTACCTTTCCTTTCCAGTAGATAGCCTTCCCAAAGCCCTGGCAGAAGGAGGAGATGAAGGGGAGAGACGAGGCTGGCCCATGGATGTACAGGTAGTCTGACAGAAGAGCCCAGAACCTGCAAACAGGACAAAACTCTAAAACATCTCTGTCTCAGTCTACTCATCTACCTCCGCTAACATGCAATGCTTTCTAAGCTAATGGTTAATGTGTGAATTCAGTCACTCACTTGTCCTGGTTCTTGCGAAATTCGGTCTTATCGTGGTGGGTCTCATACACCCAGCCCGGAGCAAAGATGGCTGCAGAGAAGTTGTGCTTCCGAATGATCTCCAGTGCCTGTAGACAAGCAAAACAAGAAGATGCATACGGTCAGTCATCTGATGACGATTAAGACTTCTTCATAAAACACACACACAGTCAGTCCGCAGTGTGTACCTTATTTGTTTCGAACATTCCTCCCACCACCTTGCCTCGGGCGAACACATCCACCCCGATGTAGACATCAGCCTGGCGGCCTTGGACCCCACTGAATTCACTCATCCACTCCAGGTTCTGCTCCGTCCAGTTGTAGTTGGTGAATAAACCATCACAAGCATCGAAAAACATCCTGTTGTGGAGTGATTCAGACAAAGAGTCGGATAGGTAAGTTGTTAGTAAACTGACAAATTGTTCTAATCATCTTGCTTTTCTAAATGAATACATTTTAATGATTGACCAATTTGTTTGCATTGCGTTTTCAAACCATAAAGGGAATGGCTCTACCTGTTGGACTGGTTGAGTTCATTTTGCCATTTTAGCTGTCCGTTTTCGATCACACTGTCGTACCACACGACCAGGCTGCCGGACAATCGCTCGTGCATCTGGTCAGTCAGATAGCGCAGGAACAAAGGCGTGTTCTTCACTGTAACCTCCTGCAAGCAGAGGGCAACACACACACACACTATACTAACAGGTTTTAAAAGAACCATCAGAATCATCAGGCCATAAGGGTGCAGGCAGACCTTGATCGAGAACGTGGGACAGACAGCAAATGTTGCTTATTAGACCTAAGGGAGCGATCTGAGGAGTAGGGCGTAGTAGTTCAGCCACACATACAGGAGCCTGACTGTGCAATGCTCTGTAAGTTAATCATGAGAACTCTGAACTGGATCCTATATGCGTCAGGGAGCTGTAAGCACGGTGGTGATAGGCATTGTGAAAGTCTTACTCACGCTGAGGGGGTTCTCTATGTTAATGAGCCAGCCATCAAAGCCATAACAGTGACTGATCTGGACTAGCTTATCAGCCACTGCCCGGTACGACTCCTCGTCTTTCAGGAAGGCCTTGCATATCTCTGCGCCATCAGTCCACTCGGTGATGAAAGTCCCTGGAAAGGCCAATCACAACAGGAAGACAGGAAGTCTGATTAAGACGGAACTGAAATTGCTGTGCTGTCAAATTTTAAAACAAACTTATTTTGAATCTCTAAAATACTAATTCAGGGTTTTTAAACCGGACATGGTTCTGTTCTATTTGGCCTTTTCGCTCACCTAGAACAACGACTCCATGTTTATGTGCGGCATTGGTCCACACAGCAGGAGGAATAGTCACCAGGTTGTGTGTGAAGTAGTTGAAAATATCAATGTACTGCCAGTGGTAGAAGGCATAAGGAGCCTCTGCAACTGTCCCCTGGACAAACCTAGACAACGGAAGAAAGCATGACATGGCATTATGGTACGTGGATTTAACTGCAGCTACAAGATAAACAGGAAGACAGTCATCTCTATGAGAAACAATGAATAAGACTTATTGATCCAAACTATAGAAACCTTAAAGCAGAATCTGGGAAGCAAAGAACAAATCTGTGAAATTAAAGCCTAAACCACAATTGAGCGCGTCGACAGAGAAGAACAACCCATTCCAGGCTGCTAGTAATGTCCATCCATCAATCATAAACTGCTTGGAAAAAGCCTAAAACCAGAAAAGTGGACTGTTACATAGTGACAGGCTCAAAATTTGCCCATGTTGGACTCCGACCTCACCTCAAGACACAGATATCATCTTCAAAAATAAACATAACTGTAAGATATATTCAGTTTTCTTGTTTATCATTACATGACTGATAAACAAAACCAGTCTCCATGGAGTTCTGCTCGGGTGTGAAAAAAATGTCCCTCTGGTGCTCTTCAGTTTGGGGATTCTACTAGTTTAGAATTGTTGAGGAAATCCGAGGCACTCAAGAGGATAGTGATTTAAAAAGTCTCAAGTATCTCACGGCTATTTAGTCACAGTAACAGTTAGAAACATGCCTACTAACTGTTAAATGATGCGGAAGGTCCCTTTGGGTGTGAGACGTTAATTCTGCCTGATGCTGCTTCAGATGGCAGACACCTCCAGTCTCTGGCATACTGAACTGTGACATGAACTCGCTCTAGAGCATTTCTGGAGCTGTCCTGTTTCAGTCAGGAAAGAACTTTACCAGAGGAACATTGTGTGGTAGCTTTCCGATAACCAGACAACCTTGATGTTGTGTTTATTTTTGAAGAGGATATCTGTGTCTTTAGGTAGAGTGAGAGTCCAATATAGGTCAACTTTGAGGGCCCCTGTCTCCTGAATTCATTCTTGTTCATCAAACCATGTTCCAACACTCTCTCATATAGGTTATAGTGTAGAAAAATGTGTGTTCAATGTAAAGGGATGAGGTCAGAAAGTGATTATAAGGGTGGTGTTGGACCAGTGGATAAGACACATGCCTCTGGTGTGAGAGACCCAGGTTCAATTCCCACTGTGACACATCCACCAATGTGTCTCTGAGCAAGACACTTAACCCCTAGTTGCTCCAGAGGCGTGCAACCTCTGATATATATAGTTAAGTTTCTTTGGATAAAAGTGAATATAAATAAATGATTTCTGACGGAATGCCCCTAGCTCTAAATACGCATCCATACCTGTCGTCTAGGTAGCCGCCCATCATGTCATGAGAGACCAGGGTCCGACGTGGACAACTGGCCAGAGAAGGCGCCCGAGGTGCCAGAGGCACCACTCCCACAAATGGGTTTGCCTCGCTTCGTTTCCACGACAACAGCTCCTCCAAAGTCAGAAGCCCACAGCTGATTGGTTCAGTGGTATCGGCATCATAATGTTTGGCTGAGAGGGAGAGGGGAAAAAAAATCTCTAGAAGTCAGCTGCAGTTTAGGTTGTTTCAGAGTGTCTTACAATTGAACTGCTTCTAATAAATTCAACTAACCTGGTAGCGGTGAGGGCGTATACTTGATGACTTCATGGATACTGTCTGAATCCATTGGCTGATCCAAACAAGACTCCAACCTGGTGAAAGTACAATGTGGCAGGGTAAGACTCTACAGTCGTAAAACACCGTTCCTGACCTTTTCCTACTTTTTTTTTTTACTTAAATGGTATTAGTCAAAACAAATTATATGACAGAGGAAGGCCTTGCAACAGTTAACTGAAACTGTCCACTAGTCTGCAATGGCAATTTAATCTTTAATGATGTGAAATTTACTTTAATTCACATTGGAATAAAGTAAATGACACAAAAACGTTCCTCAAAACAAATCTGTTTTTATGAAAGGTTGTATCAATTTAAGTTTTTCAGCTTGGAAAAACTGTTTTATAAAGTTCTCTGTGGCGGACGTTTGTCAAGTCTGAGAAAATAACCATGATGATGTCACAGTAATGTGATCAGGGTTATCTCCGCTTAGGCTTAGGAGATTTCAAATGAATGACAGAAAGCTTGTGCCATAACCTGAGGTGTGGGGTTTGAAAGATGTGGGTATTCAGCAGGGAGGGAAGGTCTAATGAGAAGATGCTATCAAGCTGCTTTGTGGGAAATGTAGGATCCAGGATTTTGGAAGCTTGGCCAATACTGTTTACTTTTTTCTTTAAATCTATATTGGTCATAAATTACCCAGTTATGCATAAATACATTTCATACACTTAAGAATGATGGCACCAATCTCTAACAAAAGACACTTTATGAAGAGTTTAAGTAACTTGTGACTTTTCAATGATTAACAAATAATTTACAAATGCTTTATAGATTAGACAAAGAAAATAACAACTTTTGGTCTGCCAGCTTGTGATAAATCCCTTGGCTTTAAATAAGTTAAATTTCCACCGTGCTCCTGTAAACTGGAGTAAAGTAAATGCTGACATGTAACGTTAAGATAGTGAGCAGCTTGTTCCTGAGTACTGTACCGACTGGCTCCAGGTTTGTCCCTCTTCGCGCTGACATTATTCTCTCCGTCCTCTCGTCTCCTTCGTAGGGGACGCTTGTTTCCACCCACATGCGTTGCCATTTCATTGAATTTAGCAGGGAAACCACTGAAGAAACAAACTGTATTAAAAACGAGGAAACAGGAAGTTTTCGTTCAACCAGCAACGAGAGCGAAGACTTCCGACCCCAGTCCTTCAGAATAAAAGCGTATTTATTCGTCATTACAATGAAGAAAAAAACATAAACATAAAAACTAAGGTAGCACAACATTTTATTTTGCATTTCAGATTGGTTGTTACTTTATGTAAAACTTACATTTGTAATGTAACGTATATTGTTCATTTTAACTGCTATGGATGAAGTTGTTATACTGTTCTGCAGTTATTGAGACTGTTTATATTAGATGAATACGTGCTGGTTATTGTCCATGAGAGGGTAGACTGAGACCAGCTGGACAAAGGAACCTTTCTCTTGTTATTGTGCAGGGCCGAGACTCTTTTAATTTTGTTTATGACGAGATTAGTCCCTAGCAGGAAACCAAAGGAACACCAACACAGGGCAAAGGGCACCGAGGGAGGAAGGCAAAGATGGCGGCCCTAAATAAGAGTCACTGGATCATAAATTCGGTGGCTGTAAAACTGTCTATTTAGCAGCATGTAATTTAAAAGAGTGGTTGTATTTTCATCTCTTGGTTATGTTTGCCATAAATGCCCGGGTTTTTTAGATCTAGTGGGGAGGGTGGGCCTATTGCATTTCTGCCAATGTCAAATGAAGGTCCCCTCCCCAGCCCAATCATTTTTGTACCGTCTCTTAGTAGAAATGTACAGATGCATAACCCTGAAAAAAGTGGGGGAGGGACCATTATGAAATCAATGACTGTGGCGAAGGAAGAATTCAGAACATTTAAAAGAACAAGTAAAAGTGCAAATACCACACTAAATAAACTTAGTTACTAGTAAAAGTCCTACATTGAAAATGTTAGGCTACTTAAGTATTTATGTCATAGTGTGAAGTAATACTATGAAGTGGTTATGTCGGCTAATAAATGCAGAAAAAAACTCTCCTGTGGCTGTTACGCTATATAGGCTATCATTAGATTATTATCACTCATGTCTATGAAGATTCTCAGTCATCCAGGTCATAGTTATCCAACGAAGGTTAAAATCAAGGGCAACTGGACTTGGTTGAAGGTACTGGAAGACGTTTCGTCCCTCATCCAAAGGACTTCTTCAGTTCTGACTGACTGGCAGGGAAACTCAGCTATTTAACCTCAGTGGGGTCGTTGGCCCGGGTCATCGATACCGCTGGTTCGTTAGTGTTCCTTGTTGCTGTGACGACAGTCGTTACAGTCGTTAAGACTACCTGTGGCCAAGACTGAACGACCATCGTTGGTATCTTCACCTGAGGCCAATAGGTTACGTTTGTTGAGTTTCCTGGGAAGTGATGAAAGGACAGCATTGTAAGTGGGGGATAAGTGGTGGCGTAGACCCCCTCCTCTGTTCAATGACGGCTTCTTGACCCTGGTGTAGATGGCTTCCTTGGTGAAAACAGCCACAAGATCCAAGAAGAACAAAACTACAGGGGAGGAGGAAAAGAAGGTCAAACGCAACAACATTGTGATTCCATACGTGTCTGGAGTATCAGAGAAACTCAGGAGGATTTTCAACAAACACAACACCCCTGTGTTTTTTAAACCCAAGAACACACTAAGACAGATGCTGGTACACCCCAAAGACCGCACACCCAAACACAAGAAAAGCAATCTAGTGTATGCGGTCCAATGCAGTGAGGAATGCACAGACCTGTATATTGGGGAGACTAAACAACCACTACACAAACGCATGGCTCAACACAGAAGGGCCAACTCCTCAGGTCAAGACTCTGCAGTCTACTTACATCTGAAGGACAGAGGACACTCGTTTGAGGACCACCAGGTAAACATCTTAGACAGAGAAGATGGATGGTTTGAAAGAGGTGTCAAGGAAGCATCTACACCCGGGTTGAGAAGCTATCACTCATGCATTCACTGTTTTAGTTGTTGAGGTGGAGCTCATTTTAACTATTTTGTATAGGAATGCAAATACTGCTTAATTCATTACAGATAAATATGCAGATTATTTTCTCCATTGATTGATCGATTGTTTGGTTTGTAAAAACAAAAAACAACCCCCCCCCCAAATAAATGAAAAAGGAAATCTTCACGTTTGAGAAGGTGGAACCATTTTGCAAGAAAAATGACTTAAGCAAGTTTCTGTCAATCAACTAACTAAAACCTTATTTATAAGTATTTTTGTATGCAAAATACAAATAATAATAACTAAAGCTGTCAAATAGTTATAAAGGAGTGAAAAGTACATTTCCCTTTGAAATGTAGGGTAGTAAAAGTAGGGAAGGTGTCAGGAAAACATATCAGACTCAAGCAAAGCACAGTAGGCCTAAATGTGTAGAACCCGGGTTTGATTCCCACTCTGACCCATCCACCATTGGGTCCCTGAGCACTTTGTTTCAGTGACCTCTGACATGTAGGCCCTTTAGCAATTGTAAGTGGCTTTGGATCAAAATGTAGGCCTACTTAAGTGCAGTAGGCTGTGCTATGAGTAAATAGTCTTAGTTAGCTAACCCCCAATGATCAATGGTAGACTAAAACCTACTGTTACTTTTGTCACCAGCTATTTTCATGTGCAGTTGTTTTGTATTTCACAAATAGACCAAAACGCGTCACCCGCATTAAAGTTCATAACATTTCGCAGCTGCGGTGGTACAAAGGTTTGCTTGCACTGTCGCTGTTACCGATGATGGTCTCTGTTGGCAGCTCTTTACTGAAAAGCTCTCCGTCATCACCTAGCAGGGAAGTGACGTCAGACTCGTCCGGCCCGACTGCTGAGCAGGATCCCGAGCGATCCCGACAGAGCTGAGACAGCAACAGGGAGGCTCAGGCGAAACCGTAAATGTAACCTCCTCAAAATCCATCTTCATCCGTGGAGAATTAATGCGTAGTCTTAACGAAAACAACGAGAGCATAAAGTACACACTTAAACCTTTTTAACAAGCACAGTATTACCAGAATATGAGGTTAGTGGTGTTTTAAAACAAACGGCGAAAGATTGTGAGAGCTGTCTCCTTCCGGACACAACGTACAGAAGACAATCGTCGCTCCAAGAGATTTTAATGTGACGGATGTTTTGCCTATTCTGCTTTTAAACAGTCTTGGGCTTTAGATAAGAATTTTTTGGGATATTTTAGAGCTAGCGAGCGTGCTTGCTAGCCAACCACAGATTCCTTGTCATGGAGTTGAGAGTAGGGAACCGATATAGACTGGGCAGAAAAATTGGAAGTGGATCATTTGGAGACATCTATCTGGGTAAGTTATAGTCAAAGAAACGTTTGTATTGTGTCTGTTCCTGTCCATTTACCTCAGCCTGCCACATTAAGCTCTGAGAGCTTGCCAGCTGGTTGCCTTTCCGGGGTTTCTAAAACGAGCTGATAGTCAATCAGCTGTTCAGTGTTTAGTGTTAGCATCATTAGCTAGTAAGCTAGCAGTCGCTATAGCAAAGCCCCTAAGTTAGCAGCATTAATGCGTCTGTTACCTTGTAAAAATCCATAGTACACAATGTATTTACTCGACTTGAGGACCACTTTGCCGGTCATAATGTGAAATGAATTTCAAATGAACAATTTTAACGGCAAGAATAGAAACTGACGTCTGCAGTGTAGCTAAACCCTTTATCGCCCGTTAGCTAACCTAGCTTAGCTAATGTTTGAGTTTAAAATCTGCCTTTAACTTTACTCACCTGGAAGCAGCAGCAGTCCGGGAACAATATAGCTGACCAGGCCATTGGCTTTATTGTTATGTCCCTTCAGTGGTAAGTTGCATGTAACTTAACTACTGGTGCTGAACAGCTCCCTCTAAACACAACGGGCCTGTCCAGTTTCCTGCACTGTTCCTCTGAAGAGATTAATCAGAAGGCTAGCTACATCAGGGAATATCAAAAAGGTGTATTTCCTTGAAGTTTCCAGAATGTCGAATCATTTTAATTTCTTCTGAAAGTAAGCAAGCTATTAAACGTGTGAGAATGGCTGTTGTATTTAGGTTGGGTCCTTGAGACTTAATTTGATCAAAGGAGGCTCCATGGCCTAGTGAGTATCAGCTGATGTGTCTTTGACATAAAAATGGTTTATAAATCCTGCTGCTTGTTTAGTCCCGGAGGGGAGTTTCATTTACAAAGTGCCAAAGGCTGTGGGCTATTGATTAGGTGGCCAATTGATTGGTTGTGCTACGCTCATTGAAGGTAAATGTAAAGGTTGGAGAGATCCACATCAACTCAGCAGGATAAAGATTATTCACTACATAAGCAGAGTGGATTTAGATTGGCCGCTAGCAATGATGCTGTTATCATTAATGGTCGGGCGTGGGAATTTTAAAGTGATCATGGGAAGTGTGTCATTACTGAGCTCTGAACATGTGAGGTACAAACAAGTGAAAACATATTTAAAAAAAAAAACTGAAGCAATTTTATTAACACATACACTGACTGTATTAAACACCAGGGATATCCTCCTGACATTGAGTTCAACCACCTTCATTGTAATGCATCCTCTGGTGGCCATTTTGGAGGTCCACAGCTCTTGGCAACAGTGGTTGAGAACAGCTGATCACATTTCTAAGCTTAAGACTTGTTCATCTAAACCACAGTAGAGAGGAGACATTGTTAATTCATGAAGCATTTTTACTGGGCTGTGGACTGATCACTTCATCACTGACATCTAATCAAGCCGAGAGAAGAACACACAAGTCTGTCTGTTAGCACTTACTCACAATATGATATAAGTGGAATACACTGTGATGTTTTTGATATTCAGTATGTCTGGATTTTGCAATTAACCGAAATCTAAGCAATGATCTTTTTCGAGTATTACATGTAATTATTACTGCTTTTGAATAATGAATACTTTTGGGGAAGTCTTATTTCATTCCTCTTTTAGAATATAGTAGTACATCTGTAGTGAAGAATGATATCTCTTAAATGCACATTGAAAATGATGAAATCTACTTAAAAAATAAACCAAAAGGTCAGGATAGACTAGATCTGCTACTATTTTCTGTAAGGGTATATCAGTCTGTTATTTTAGCTATTAATCATAGGTCCATAAAATGTTGGAACACAGTGAAAAATGTCTCTACAAGTCCAAGGTTTCATCTATTGCTTACATTTTGGGAAGGTGGTGAAAAAGCTAGTTATGAACCCTGTACTTCAACTGTCACGCATCCTGCTATAAATATTTGCCTATTGAATGTCAACAGCTTACTTGCTTTAACAGGTTTTTCTGTTTTTTACTTTACTGCTCTTTGATAAAGGACAAGGAAGTTAGGAGAGGTGGAAAGCCACCCAGTATGACTTCTGCTCTTGTGATCAGTTTAATAGATGGTGGCGTAAACAAGAGAACCAACAAAGTAAACGTGCAGGTTTGAAGAGTAGTACAGTAGCTCATGGCTGAGCGCTCTACCCCCAAGGTTGTGCCTGACCCACCCTGCAGTTAGTTTTTGAAGTCTAATGGTAATATTTTGTACTTAGTTAGTAATATATTTACATTAACATACCAAAGACATTTTAATAAAGGCCAGTCTTGAAGAAGACATAAAAATAAAAGGAATTCTAAAATGTGCTAATGTTTTAAGTTCGACAGCGGACTGTATGACTGTCCATGCCTAATATTACGTGTAGTTCTATTTCACAGTAAGTCCCACATTAATGCTCCCACACAATGTGTGAACGCTTTAATAATGCTGACAATGTGCGAGCAGCCTGTTGTGCCGGGGATGTCTGGGTGGCAGGAGGAGATGAGGTCAGCTCTTGGAGTGAAGCCTTGTACTTTGTGTACTGCGACTGACTACAAATGTGGACTGTCAAATATTCAGACCTGGTAAAATCATTTTGTAATGTTTGAGAGATTTGGCGTGGCAAAATGTCACTCCTTCACAAAGTGTTCATAAAACAGTTAAGAGACTGCGTCAACATGTAGTTCCACAAACACTTCCTGTTGAACCTCCTGTTGTGTGTTGGGTGATGCATATTTGGTTCATGTTGAAACAAGCTACAGAAAGTCTGACGTTGTTTGTCACTGTTCGAACTCCCTGAACTGTTTTTTCCCCCCCCGAGCACTTGAATACATGCCATTGAGTTTCGCTTTTGTGGCGTCACTGTGTTTTGGCTCATGTGTATTCTCTGTATTTTGATGGTGACTGAGGCTGTGTACACTGTAACTGTATTGTTTTTCTTTTGTCAAGACAGAGGATACAATTATTGTCACTAATTACTTTGTGAGTAATATAATCCAGCCTCTCAGTTGTGCAGTGTATTGCTGTCTGATTAGCCCTTAAACTGTTGTAACTGTTACTCAAATTGGACTTCCTGGATCTGCTGTGGCACCTGAAGCAACTCTCCCATACCATTTTTAACACAGTGCCATTTTTGGTCTTAACACATGGTAAGGAAAACTGTGTAGTGACAAAGCACAGCGCTGCTTCAGTCTGTTACCTGTTGACTCAGACTTACGTAACAGATACTTGGCTTGTGATTACTTGGTAATCTGAAATGCTTCCAACAGTGTATGCTGAAAGGGATGGGCCCACTTACATAATCAAAGCTAACAGTGAGGTTGGTTTAGAGCTGCATAGTGTTTTCTTATGACATGCTCAGACCTAATGCTAGTGGTGACTCAGTTTTTATGCTGATGATGCCTTTTTATGCTGATGATGCCTTTCTGTGCTACATTTCTGCTTTTCTGCTCGTAAAACTTTGTGGTTTGAATGTGTCAAATGTTATGGTGTGTGTACGGGGTCTGCCGACGCCATGCAGACTACTTCTCACTAACTTCGGAGTTGTGAAATGTTGTCTGAGTTTTTTGCTTGCAGTTGCAAAGTAAAGGCTCCATTCAGTACATTTCTTTGTGCAGTATAAATGTTGTAGCTAGTGACGTCTTAGCAATGCCGTGTTAACACGTTTTAAAGTATCAGGCTTGGTTTTGGTGTGGTTCTTGTCCTTTACCGCAGGCCCCACAGCTCCCAGAGGACGATGAGCTTACACTCTGCTAGCTCACATCTCCCACTCTGTGGCTGGTCTTACTTGCCAAACATCATCGCTCTTGTCATGTTCCCTTTTGTTTTCCTGGATACATGTAAATCAGGATCGGCCCTCCCCTAGTCCAGACGGCGTTGGTAATGCTTCTTGAAATGTTGCTAACTCCAAAACACCAGAAGAAGAAGAATGACTTCTGCCCTTGAGCAGTTTAGTTACAACAGTAACTGATTACGTGTGTCTTGGAGAGAGTGATTGATCTATAACATTTCAACATCTGCCGACAATGCTCCTTGGATGCATTTACATTTAGCTGCCCACACCAAAGTGTGAATGGGGTCTTAGTAGTTTGCCTCTGTTGCTGTTTGTGAACCCGTGTAGAGGGATGTGTCTGCACATGTTTCACCAGCAGGATAACAAACACACCACAGCCAATAACGCAGACATCCTCACAACCTCCCCTCTATGAGAAGATCAGCAAGGGGGGTGGGAGGGGGATCTGCCCAGGCAAATCACATTCCTATGATGCAACAAAGCAGACAACACTGTGAAGAGCTTTTGAAGACATTTTCTCTGTTGTTAATTGATTAGCTAAGCACAAACTAGAATAACAAGTCAATGTGAGCCCTTGTTTACTTGTCACTCATTGGCACACAAACTGTTTGAAATCTATGCGCATACATACTTTCCATAAATATGAGCTATTATAAATCTCTTGTATTCATTTTAGGGTTACAAGTATCAGTTATGTGCATATTTAATTAATCTGTCAATTATCTTCATTAGTCTGTAAAATGATAGCAAGAACCAAAATAATGCCTTATAATTCCACAGGGACGTGGAATCAGGTAAAGAAAGCAAACTGATAAGTGTCGGGGGGGGTCACAAACACTGGCTTTTGAACTAATACACAGACATGTTTGGCCTCATCATGAATGGTAACATGGCCTGCGAGATAAAGGCGATGAAATTATATATCAGTCAGCTCGAGCTGAAACGGTTACTTGATTTAATGGTTTTAGTAGATGAACCTAAAATGAATCCCCAACAGTTTTGCTAATTGATTTAGTTTCAGCTGTTTAAAGCCAGAACGCAAAACATTCTCTGTTTCTCAATTGTGACTCTCTGCTGTTTTTCTATGCTTTAGTATAGTAAATTCATTATCTTTGGGTTTTGGACTATTAGTCAGACAAAAAAATTTGAATATGTCACCTTGAGCTTTAGGAATTCTTCTGGGCATTTTTCACTATTTTCTGTAGACTAAACAAATGCTATCTATCCAACTGGTGTATTCCATTTATTGGTAATGCATTTAAACCTCACACAACTGGGGGGGAAAACAATGTCATCCCTAATGCTATGAAGTCGAATGGAATTTGTTGTTTGTGGTTGTGAACTGACCCTTTAAAGTTACTACACAGACGGATTTGGATATGGATTCGGGTAGTCAGCCAAAGGCTGATCAATGCCATTTAATTTAGTTCCATAGATGATGGTTCAGCAGAACTGCCTTGTGCCAGTCTGAGCTGTTGTTTTCCTGCATCATTGTGAAACTTGGCAGCAGCACCCTCTTACCTTCAGTACAGACACACATACTCAGCACGTTTTTCACAGTTCTCATGTATAAATCATGCAACATATCAGCTTTCAACAGAGCCATGGCCCTAATTGCCTGCCCCCCCCCTTCCCCTGAGAGTTCTGCTCAGCCCGCCCAGATCACGCCATACAAAATAATCAATTAAGCTCCATTGGTGCTGCTGTTAGCCTACACGATTGAACTGCTGCCCACATGAGACCGTGCGTACCAGAAATAGGATTACGTAACCTAGTGTCCAGTGGCTGTGTTTATGTGGAGGGAACTGGACCCCACACCCATATTTGCTGAAATATTTGCAGCTCAAGTGATGGTTTGTCAGATCCCAAAGGGCAGCAAAGTGGTCTCTGATAGACAACTCCCCAAATCCTCTGCTCAGTTAAAGCAGTTGAATGAAAATGTAATTATAGCAGGGAGGAATTTGGGCTACACATACAAGTAGATACATGAAAGAAGAGCAGGGGACATACAGTGCACACTGTTGGTTTATCTTTCATCTTGGCTGGCTTTGCTGTGTTAACAACCTTGTGTACTCAAGCAGGCCTTCTCCACCAACCACACAATGTGTTTTATATATTTGTTTGCTGTCACCAGTAGATAATGTGCTCACTAATACAACTAATTATCTCCATATCTATTGCTTCATAGACTTTATGGCCTTGGGTAAAGATGATCTGAAGAGTGATATACATTGGACTTTGACCTGACAGCAGTGCTTCTATGCTACATTCTTCATCAAAATTAGGCGATACGCTTCCATGCAGCTCACCTCTGTCTCCCACTGTCTGTCCTAGGTACCGACATTTCGGCTGGAGAGGAGGTAGCCATCAAGTTGGAATGTGTGAAGACCAAACACCCACAGCTCCACATAGAGAGCAAAATCTACAAGATGATGCAGGGCGGAGGTAATGTATATTCTAACACACCATGTACACACACGTCCTGTCACTTGGTAAAGTGTTGCTTGTGCTTTTATGAACTAAGTGCTACACATCAATATTTACAAGCACTTAAAAATATAAGCAAGCATCCATTAATCATTGTAAATTATTAGCTATACAGAAAATGATCAGTGTTTGGTGCCTCTGACAAACGGTGTATATTGAGTTAACTGAAGAACTGGCTGGAGGTAGGTATTGGTACGTGGAATGATGAAATGATTGGATGGCCTACCTGCACACACTCAATGTGTTTTGGGGGAGTGGCTAGGGGTGGGTTTGGTTGTTTACGGTCTCATGCATAGCCTATCTCAGCTTTAATTTCCTCCCTGATCCCTGTGGACACTTGACTGTGAATGGGAGAACCTGTCTGACTTGACCCCCCTATTCACACATGCACCTCTAAAACACTCTGGCACCACTCACCTTGAAATTTAAATTAAAATCAAATTCCATGGCTTTCATGGCTGATTGAGATATATCCTCTCAACAACAAGTGCGATCCTCACCGTGGGGCTAAAGGAAAAGTCAGAGGATCACCAAAGTTGTAGTCTTCATAATTTGAGCACCATGAATATATATTCATAACAATCCATCCAATAGTTACGCTGTTTCTGTCTGTACCAAAATGGCAAAGTGACCAACCGACCAACATTGCTACCTATGGAGCCAGGCCACTAGCATGGCTAAAAAAAACAGTTTCATAAAATTACATTGCTCAGGAATTGAATGACTTTGTCATGCACCAGTGTGGTATGTACAGTTTGTGCTCAAACATGCCCACAAGCTGCATGCATGGAGAAGCAACAAAGAACCTATCTCTCTGCATTGTATGTGAGAGCAGGAAAATATTGTTTCTTTGGGGAACTAAAACAAAATCAGGAAGTTACGTCAGCTCGGTAGTCTCTACAACATGTTGAGGAAAACAGCTTTCTGTTGTCACACTCATCACCAGAGGGTTTAAGCTCAATAGCCCATACTGCACAGTGACGTACTTCAACCAAGTTTTCACGCTATTTTTTTCTGCCGGTTGATAAATTCACTCTGGGCTTATTAGTACTTTCTGTCTTCATAGCAAACCGTCTATTTGACAGGCCATGTGCACGAGACTGTCTATATATGCCCAACTGCACACACATGCATTTGTATTTTTGTTCCAGCATGATCTTTGGGGCATGTTGGCCGACCCAGACTATGGGGTGTATTTGCGTTTGTATGTATATAAATAGCTGATGCAAAGTGTGTCTGTGCGTGCGTGTGCGCATTGGTAGTTGCTGAGGAGCAGCATTTTGTTGCTGTCTGCCTGTAGAAGGAAATGCCAGATGGCCTCTTCGCCTTGGCAACGTCAGCCAATTACCAGCTACTACTAAACCAGCTGGCCTTTGCCTTAACACTCCTGTCTGTGGGGAAGTGGACTGTGTGTGGGATCCAGCCTTTCAAATTGTAGCCATTTTTGTTTTTTACAGTAGCATTACACTGGCCTGCATCAGACAGTGGGATTTTGCTCTAATTCTGAAGTCTAAACAGCGTGCACAAATTTCCATTTGTTTTCACACTTGATCTCAGCTCCACAATGACTACAGACAGCTGCAGAGGTCTCCTCAGTCAGTGAGGAGTCAGCAGCAGAGGCAGCAGCTACACATTTCAGTACTTTGGAAATGTACGATGAAAAGTTTATAAAAAGATTCAAGGTCTGTACAGAAATACAGAAACTTGCTTGTAAGCTTCTTAAAGAAATGTTTCATTTTGAGGTTGGTCCCCTGAGTTGTCTGATGGCAGTCGGACTACACCAATATTTTGGTTGTTTGAGCGGATACAGTCTTCAATTTAATCATGGTTCAGCAAACATGCAGGGAAACAGTAGCTGGAACTGAAGAAACCTACCAGCCACTTGTTTAAAATTACTTCCAATTGTGAAAATAATCATGATTTGTAATCATGAAAAATTGTATTTGGGTAACTTTAAAACCCTTTTCAATCGCAGTCCTGAAATAAATTAGTACCAAATGTAACCTTCCTGCTCCCTCCTTCTTCTCCAGTGGGTATTCCGACGATAAAGTGGTGTGGGGCCGAGGGTGACTACAATGTGATGGTGATGGAGCTGCTGGGGCCCAGTCTGGAAGATCTGTTCAACTTCTGCTCTCGAAAGTTTAGCCTCAAGACCGTCCTGCTGCTGGCTGACCAGATGGTAAGAAGAGAAAGAATGTGAAAGTGGGGTGCAAACTGAAAGTGACTGGCCACGGGATGTATGTAGTTGCTAGTTTTGTTGGATTGTTTTTAGCTTGGAGGTTTCTTATATTGAAGTTCTACAAACCATAATGTCTAACTTCACTTCACTTCACCTGAGCGGCTACTAAATTTTAAGCTTGCTGATTGGATGCTTATCACGGTGCTCTCTGGGTCT